TCCGACAGTGCAGAGCGTGGCCCTGTGTGGCTCTGGGCCTCTGCCAGCTCCTGCCCCACTGCGCCCAGTTCCCCTTCCTGAGTGGGGACAGGGGCTTGTGGGTGAGCGCAGGCCCAGGGCTCATGGAGGGGGTGGGCCTGCCCTGTGGGGTGAGGCCAGCCTCCCAGGGCCTGAGAGCACTCCCTGCCCCGCCCCCAGGACCCTCCTCAGCTGCTCATGGACACCCTCATCTGGGTACAGCTCCTCTAAAGGCCTCGTCCCCTCCTGATTCAGACCCGGGGCCCTGGCTGTGAGCCCCGCGTGGTCCTGTGTGCTGGGACAGGCTGGGCGTCCCCTGCAGTGGCCCTGCCTGGGACTGAAGGCAGAGCAACGCCTCCCCTCCCCTCCCCCGTCCCCTCCTGCACTGGGAGGGTCTCTTCCTTGGCCTTTTTCTACCTGGGGCTCTGCAGACCCAGGGGAAGGTAGACCACGTGGTGCACTCACTCTGCTCACAGCAGGTCTGGTCCCTTCACCCCTCAGCCCCTCCCTCTCCCCTCCTCCCTGGGTCCCCTCTCGTCATGGGGACCCCCCTTTCCTCCCTTACTCTGCCCTACCTTCTGCATAGAGAGAAAACCCAGGCCCTCCCCATCTGACTGGCTCTTTCACTTACATAATGGTCTCCACTCCCACTCCTCCACAATGCCCTATCTCCTTCTTCTTGATGGATGAGTAATACTCCTCTGTGTATATACACCGCCTTTTCTTTATCCGTCTGCTGATGGGCACAGGGCTGGTGACGTGGCTTGGCTAGTGGGGACTGTGTTGCCATAAACACTGAAGTGGCTGTGTCACTGTCGTGTGCTGATTTTAGTTCTTTGGGATAAATACGGAGGTGTGGGCAGCTGGGCCCTGGGGTGGTTCCGTCCTAGTGTTGTGAGGACTCTCAGGGTCAGAGTGGCTGCCTGGTCTGCAGTCCCAGGGCAGTGTGTGAGGGCCCCTCTTCCCCACCACCTGGCAGCACGTCTCACTGTGTTGTTGCTGTTCTGATTCAGGGAGGAGACTTGGTGTCGTGATTTGTAGTCCTCTGGTTGCCAGACTCTGGCTGTCCCCACATTAGTTGGCACTTGTATTTCTTCCCTGTCCCAGACTGTAGCTCCTCTCCCTCATGGTGCCCCCCTGCTGGGCTGAGCTCTTCCTGATGTCACCCACTTCCTGATTCTGGGTCACTTACTGGGTCAGGTCTGCTAAGGCCTTGGGCCTGCACCAGGATGTTGAGGCTGACCTGAGCCTCCGTGGGCTTCCAGCAGGTGCATGGTGCCTGGTCTACTTCCCAGGTCTGTGGTCCACATGAG